CGATGCGGGGCTCGATCCCAGGACCCTGGGATCATGACCTGAGCCGAAGGCAGACGCTTAACGACTGAGCCACCCAGGCGCCCCTAAAGGCCCTGCTTTTTATAAGCAAATGAGGCACGCAGGTGGCATGTGACTTGCCCAAGTTCACACAGTTGGTGAGTGTAGATCCAGGACTAGATGTTGGCTCCTCTGACTTCCGTAAGTCTAGGCATTTCACCTTTCTGTACTACTAGGTCTGGGCAGTTCAGCCAGGCTTTGGACCTGGATCTGAAGGGCTAGTCAATATTCAGTAATAATAGAATTATTATTATACTTATTTATTATTATTATTTTTTTTTTAGAGAGAGAACATGAGCAGTGGCAGGGGCGGGGCAGAGGGAGAGGGAGAGAGAGAATCTTTAAGCAGGCTGACGCCTGAGCGGAGCCCAGAGCGGAGCCTGACTCGGGGCTCAATCTCACAACCCCGAGATCCTGACCTGAGTCAAAATCAAGAGTCGGACGCTTAACTGACTGAGCCACCCAGGCACTCCAAGTTATTATTATAAACAAGTTTTGGAAATAACTTAGCCAACTTGCCCAAGGCTGGTAGAATAAGAGCCTTCGTATTGGAAGTGTAACTTCTCCAACGTAGATGGTGGTACCTGTGAGATGGGACCCTTCGGAGACATCTTCGTTTAGAAAGCTATTTGCGGGGCGCCTGGGTGGCTCAGTCGGTTAAACGTCTGTCTTTGGCTCGGATCATGATCCCAGGGTCCTGGGATCGGGCCCCGCACGGGCTCCTTGCTCAGCGGGGAGCCTGCTTCTCCCTTGCCTGCTGCTCCCCCTGCTTGTGCTCTCTCTCTCTCTGTGTCAAATAAATAAATAAAATCTTTTAAAAAATGTAAAAGAAAGAAAGAAAGAAAAAGAATAAGGCTAGTCATCTAGTGAGGATGCAGCCACTGTTACGTATGGGAGGTTGAGCCCATTATGACTCCATGCCTCGCCCCCTTCTAACGTGTGTGTGTATATCTGGAAGTTAAGGAAATGGGGAGGTCACTACGGTCCGCTGGATTCTCTGTCCTATCACCTCTCCTCTCCCCAAGGTACCGGAGTCTGAAACAATTTAACGTGGACATCTGCCAGACCTGCTTCCTGACAGGCAGGGCCAGCAAAGGCAACAAGCTTCACTACCCCATCATGGAGTATTACACACCGGTACGGAGCCTCTGGGCGGAGCAGGACGGGGAGGCAGCAGTCAGCTTCTAGGCCCTTGATCCGCTTGGCCGAGCATGGACTAGCTATATTCCGTTCTCCTTTGGGGAGCATTCTCCCAGCAGTCCTGGTGATTCACCAGTTTGGGGGATTCCTGGCTATAGCAGCCCAGGACACTCATGGCCATTTAAAAGGCATTTACTATTTTCCTGCAGAGCAAAGTCTCAGGAAAAAAAAATTGAGAGAGCAAGACAGTTCCAGGCAACTGGCCTTCCTTCCATTGCTCACTTTAATTTTTCCTGCCTAGCTTCCTGCATTGCTCCCATCAACCTGGTCTTCACCCGCTACTTTGTCATTTCTTCCGTCCCTCCTAGTCAATTCCAAAGTTTGTGCTCAAATCAATTACTCAGTCTCTTGGAGGTAAAAAAAAAAAAAAAAAAAAAGAGTATGCTCTTTACCCGGGTCCCCAAATTAACTTGGTTTTCATTGGAGAAGAGATGACGATTTGGAGAGATGGATTATGGGGAACCGCGTTGAAAGGTGGGGAGGTGGGGTGGGAGAGAACATTGGGGGGAGCTGGCAATATGCTTGGGACTTGGGAGTATCTGTGGGGCAGAAAGGGATAAAAGAGCTTGGGGAGTAGAGTCCGCTCAAGGAGCTAAGCTTGGAGTTTTGGGTCCTGAACACAGCAGAGGACAAATTCTGTGAGTGGATTTCAGGAATGCTGACCAACCTGGGCTCAGGTAGCTATGAAGGGCAGAGTTTCACCAGTTTGGGGGATTCCTGGCTATAGCTTTGAGCATTCCTGCAACCTAGTCTTCACCGGCTACTTTGTCATTTCTTCCATTCCCGCTAGTCAAGTTTGTGCTCAAATCAATTAATCAGTCTCTTGGAGGTAAAAAAAAAAAAAAAAGTCCCTCATGTTCTCACTGGATGTGTCACCCAGTGGGAGCAGGGGGCTTGCCTTTATTTTTCTTCTATTATCATTTCAAAATGAACATACAGAGAAAACTGGCTTGAGATGGTAGACTGATAATCCTCTACCTCCTGCTCATCTTCTGCACCCCTAGGATTTATATAAAGATCCTTTAGAAATTAACAAATATATGCTTACTGCAAAAATTCAAATTCCTTAGAGGTGTATAAAGTCAAAAACGAAAGTCCCCCTCTCTCCTCGGCCTCGTCCCCACCTCTCCAGTCCAACTTCCCAGAGGCAACCAGTGTTCACAGTTTGGCAGCATATCCTTCTTGACCTTTTTCTGGGAGTGGAGAGTGGTGGGCATGAACAAGAGTAGATGACTGGTCATGTTCCCTGCTCTAGGGGAGCATCCCCACTTCCCCAGCCTCCCGAAGCCATTAAGATGAGTCCCTCTGCCCTGTCTCCCCCTAGACCACATCCAGTGAGAACATGAGGGACTTTGCCACGACCTTAAAGAACAAATTCCGCTCAAAGCATTACTTCAGCAGACACCCTCAGCGAGGTTATCTGCCTGTGCAGTCGGTGCTGGAGGCTGACTACAGTGAGACGTGAGTATCAGGGGCTGAGCGGAGGGGCTGTGGGCCCTGCCGAGCTGGGGATGGGATGCACTGTGTAGGAGCGGAGGAGTATTCCGAGGCAAACCCCACTAGCAACAGGGAGGGTCAGCTTGGGCCTGACTAGGGAGCTGGCCCGAGAAATAGATTAGAATCCAGTCCCTGCATCCTGTTCCCATCAACTCTTGGCCATCTGCCTAGTTTAGTGGGGGGGGTGGGGGGGTGGAGAGAGTGGTGATAAGGAAACGGACTGCTCAGCTGCCCATTCCTTGGTCCTCTGAGTCCGCTGCTTTCTTCTAGGCTGGCTTCTTCCCCGATGTTGCCACACGCCGACACACACTCCCGCATTGAGCATTTTGCCAGCAGGTACCACCAGGTTCGGGGGAGGGAGATTTTAAAGAGTCTAAGGGGGAGGGGGTCTTCAGTCAGGGCAAAGAGAATGGCGTCTAGACCAGGGGGGTGTGCACAGTGGGGTATGTGGCAGCCAGCGAGGCCCAACACTCCAGGGTGGTTGGGGCAGTCCCCCAAAGCTAATGATCCTATTGTGGGATTAGAGTCCTTGAGATGAAAGCAAGCCCCCACATCCTGCTTTCCCTTCTGTTCCTGCTTTTTCTTCTCAGGCTTGCTGAGATGGAAAGTCAGAATTGTTCCTTCTTTAATGACAGCCTGTCCCCAGATGACAGCATGTAAGTTTTCACAGCTGCGTATTTTCCAGAAAGAGTTCTCCTTAGGATCCCTCTGCCACCATTTGGGAAGGAGATATCCTCCGGGAGAGGGATGTGTGGTGGCCAGGGTCCCAGAGGCCCCAAGGAAGGAAGGCTGCTTTCTGGGCACAGTGTTTAGTAATAGAAGCCCTCTATCGACTGACTGAGCCGCTGTCTGCCCAGGTCCCTTCCTCTTGCAAGATCCCGTCCTTCCATGCCTAACTCTGAAGGAAGGAGAATATGCCCTCATCTAAAGTTGCAGAAATGAGCCATTATCTCTGCTCAAGGTGCCAAAGCCCCGTCCAGTGCCACACCCTGGGGAGACACCAGGGACTTGACTGAAGTGTGACCAGAGGGAATCCTTGGTGCTGTAGCTCAGAGAAGGGGCCCCTTATCCCTAGGGAGGTCCCTGACAAGCTCAGGGGGCTTAGGAGCTACTGGCCAATGGATGAGGCTGGCCCTGATGGAACTTAGACAGGCAGTGAGCCCCCTGGGCGGGGGGAGGTGAGGAAGCGAAGGAGGACGAGGTCAGGGAACAGCACACACCGGGAAGTGATTTGCTCATTGTTTCCCAGGGGGCTTTAAGTAGAACCCAGAAGCCCCAACATCCCGAAAACACTCCCTCCTCTACCCTCAACCACGACCTCTGCCACCTTTAAACACCTTTATCCCTCTTAAACCTGAATATATAGGCTTCCCCTCTCTATGTGACTTAGAAGTGAATCTTCCAGCCTATGTCTCCTGGGGCCTGAGCTGGGAGCTGAGAACTCCTGCCCTGAGATGTTTCTTGGTTCACTGCCTGGCCACCTCCTCTTCTCTCCCCACACCCGCGCAGAGATGAGGACCAGTACTTGCTGCGGCACTCCAGCCCCATCACAGACCGGGAGCCAGCCTTTGGACAGCAGGCTCCATGCAGCATGGCCACAGAAAGCAAGGGGGAGCTAGAGAAGATCCTGGCCCACTTAGAGGATGAGAACCGGTGGGTGCAGTGATGGCACAGATCAGTGCGGGTGGGAGAGTCAGACAGTTTAATTTCGAGTCTTGACACTTCCACATCCTAGCCATGTGACTTCTACTCAGTGATCCCCCATTTCCTCATCTACAAAATAAGGATGATGATAATAGTATCTACCTCCTAGGGTCACTTGTGAATTTCCAGTGAAATCAGGCATATAAACGCGTTAGCCAGTACCTGGCTTATCGTAGGGTTCAATAAATGCTAGCAATTCTAATCATAATTGGAATCCTTTTAACCCAACCCAAATATTTTCAAGTACCCAGTAGATGCAAGCGGAGAGAGTGCAAACACAGAGAATACAGAAGAGAGAATGCATGTCTCTGCCCTCGAGGAACTTTCAGTGTTGGAAATGGAAAGAGGCACTTATCACTCACTGAAAGTAATAAAACAAGAGAAGGGTGACATTGCATGGAGTATGTGAGGACTGGAAGAGGGAAGGTGAAGATTACGAGGATGACATTAATCTCCATAAAGTACGGGTTTTGGTAGGGGCCTGTGTCAAAGGGTCCAAGCCACTTTGGGGGCATTCGATAAAACCCAAAGGATTCCTCAGACCAGTGCTTCTCGGACCTTAGTGTGCATACAAGTCACTTGGGGAGCTGGGTAAAATGCAGATTTTGATCCACAGGTCTGGGGTGGGGCCTGAGTTCTGCATTTTTAACCGGCTCCCAGGGGATGCCCAGGGTGCTGGCCCCCAGACTACTTGGAGTGGCAAGTCCTTAGAACAGGGCCGGTCTGCCAAGTGTTCGCTAACTGGTTCAAGACAAGATAAATACAGACACAGAAAGTCAGCTTCTAGAAACCTTTAGAGCAATTCGACATGGCCATGTGTTCCAGGCACATAATTAGTGGACTTTTCATGGAATCAGCCATAGACCCATTTGCGTGCTGTTGAACTTGTGTGGCAAGTCATGTGTGATGGGAGCTGTGTGCTGGCCCTAGGCATTTGGACCACTTATTGGTCCACAGTGATTGAACCCCCATCTCCCCTGGTTTTCTGCTACGGATGGTTTGAGAAGCACTGCGTTAGATCAGCAGTGGGCAGGCCCGGGGGAAGCACTGGTGAGAGAGCGATTCTGTTTCCTGATGACTCAACAGGGGTGTTCAAAGGGGGCCAAAGAGGAGGGTAGGTGGAGAGAAGAGGCAAGATGGGTGATCTTTTGTTTGTCTTCCGCTGGAATCTAAAAATCTAAAAATGGAGTAGGTGAATCTGTGGCCCTAATGCCTCATTTATTTGCAGACTATGTTTCTGCCTGATTTTAAGGGCAGAATTAAACCCTGAAGCAGCACATCAAAGCCCTGAGACCTTTGTTAGATGAAATGTCAGCTCTCTCTGCTGAGGCCCGAGGATGGCAGAGTAAATGACATGTGTGCTGGAGAAGAATGGATATGGCCATTCGAGCCCGAACATGGCTGGGGTGGGGGTGGGGCTAGGAGAGCAAAGGGACCGCACACCACTAGGTAGGAGGGGACATCTGGGACCCAGACAGTCAGTACTTTGTTAGGGCCATAGGTCTTGGCTCCTGTCTCCTTGGCAGGATTCTCCAGGGAGAGCTGAAGCGCTTGAAGTGGCAGCATGAGGAGGCTGCCGAGACCCCCACCCTGGCTGAGGGCTCTGCCCAGGTAGCACAGGACCATCGCAATGAGGAGCTTCTGGCCGAGGCCCGGATCCTTCGGCAGCACAAGAGCCGCCTGGAGACACGCATGCAGATCCTCGAGGACCACAACAAGCAACTGGAGTCTCAGCTGCAGCGCTTAAGGGAGCTGCTCCTGCAGGTGAGGCTGGAGTCGGGGGGAGGACCAGAGCTGCTGACTGCCCCCCCCAACCTCCTGGACGTGGGGAGCTGGGGAGTGCAGCAAAGGGCAGGAACGAAAGTGCTCCTTGGCGGCGGCTGTTGTTGGATGACTTTCTGAAGAGAACTGGGCTGACAACGATTAGGGAAGGGGACTTGGGAAGGGGCCGGTGTGCTCTTGGCCAAGTCTGAGTGCTCACTTCCCCACGACCCATCTGAATCTGGTATCGAGAGGACGAAGCTCAAAGAATCATCCAAAACATTGATTTCGCTACCGTGATGTTTGCTGGAAAGAAGCAGGTTTGGACATGCTGGGGGAGACAACGATGTTTGCCGGGAAGGGAGCTCTTCATTCCTGTTTGTCCCTTTCCTCCTTGAGGGGTCGTATATATGGCATGGTGTAGCTCTGGAGTCGGACAGCCCTGGGTTCCAATGTGGCTGTGCCAATTCTTGACTGTCAGGTGTTAGGCAAGTTACTTGGCCTCACTTACCCCCAGTTCTCTCATCTGTAAAACAGGGATAATAACATCCCAACTTCGTGGAATTGTGAACCTAAGATGCGATAATGTATTTAAAGAATTTAGCACGATGCCAGGAATGTAGGGAATACTTTGTAAACGTTACCTATTACAGTTGACCCTTGAACAACACAGGTTTGGACCATGTGGGTCCACTTATATGCGGATTTTTAAAAGATTTTGTTTATTTATTTGAGAAAGAGATCGCGTGAGCATGCACGAGGGGGAGGGAGGGGCAGAGGCAGAGGGAGAAGCAGACTCCCCGCTGAGCAGGGAGCCCGATGTGGGGATGTGGGGCTGGATCCCAGGACCCCAGGATCATGACCTGAGCTGAAGGTAGATGCTTAACTGACTGAGCCACCCAGGTGCCCCTATATGCGGATTTTTTACTGTACAGTACTGTAAATGTATTTTCCCTTCCTTATGATTTTCTTTTTCTTTTTTTTTTTTTTAGAGGGAAAGTGAGGGAGAGGGGCAGAAGGAGAGGGAAAGAGAGAGACCCTTAAGCGCAGAGCCCAACTCGGGGCTTGATCTCACAACCTTGAGATCATGACCTGAGCCAAAACCAAGAGTCAGACGCTCAACTGACTGAGCCACCCAGGCGCCCCTTATGATTTTCTTAATAACATTTTCTTTTCTTTTGCTGACTTTATTGTAAAAATGTAGTATATAATGCATACAAACTATATGTTTGTTTAGTGTTTATGTTACCAGTAAGGCTTCTGGTCAACGGTAGGCTATTAGCAGTTAGGTTTTGGGGGAGTCAAAATTATATGTGGATTTTTGACTGCACGGGGGGGTCAGTGCCCCTAACCCCCACATTTTTCAAGGGTCAACTGTATAATCACTATATGTACCAGTAATACCACCCCATGCCTCTTCCCCAGATCCTCTGAGGGATAGCCTCTAGATGAATTCCTAAAGGTCTTAACATATATCATGAACTGAGGATCAGGTGTGCAACTCTATATTTTCAGGGAGATCCGGGTTCTAAATAGCTTAATTATAGCTGAGATGGACAGCAAGAGACCTTTAGGTGCAACTGGGAGCCTTTGACACATGTTGAAGGAAGAAGGGTAACTGGTAACTGAATATTCTAAGAAGTTTCTTCAAAGGGGAAGCCACTGTTTGGGGCACTACCGAAAACTTCTTAAAGTCCCAGGGCAAAGGGATGGGCACAAGGTCTCTAAAACCCCTTCTAAGCTCAGGAGTCTGTTAAAGTGAGGTCAGAAAAGCAAAGCCACCTAAGTCATGCCTTACCTCTTGCCAGCCACCCACCGAATCAAATGGCAATGGTTCTGCAGGCTCGTCCCTAGCTTCCTCTCCGCAGCAGTCAGAAGGCAGTCACCCCCAGGAGAAGGGACAGACCACTCCAGATACTGAAGCTGCAGGTAAGTTCCCCCTGGCCCCTCCCAGCCCCTTCCTCCATGGCTTCATCCTGCCCCAGATCTGCCCAAGGTCCTGCTAGGGCTGGACCATGGGTTTCCCCTCGTGGCTTTGAGCTTAGTGTCAGGGATGACTGGCTTATCGACTGAAGCGTTTGTTTGCTTATTCTACACGTGTATATTGAGCACCTCCTATGTTCTAGGCGTTGTGCTGGGAAGACACAAACGCTGTGGGGTTTCGTCCTTCAGCGGGCAGCCTCCCGCCTCAGCCCCTTGGCCTCAGGAGGGAATCCCTAGTTCTCTCCCCAAATCTCTCTTTTCCAACTTAGATGATGTGGGGTCCAAGAGCCACGATGTCAGCCTGTGCTTGGAGGACATTATGGAGAAGCTCCGCCATGCCTTCCCCGGTGTGCAAAGCTCTGATGGGACTGCCAACCCCCTGTTGGCCTCTTGATGGAGCCAGATCCCCATCCTATAATCCACAGTCCTCTCCCGGTTCTGGTCCAAGTCTTCCTTCACGCCTTCACCCAACCTTTCTGGTCCCTCCCGGGCCCACATTCCTCAGCCAGAGTTATCTGGGCTCGGGGCAGCAGCAGGGATCTGCCCATGTGTGAAGTGGATGCTTCAGGGCTGGGAGAAGGAGAGGCATGATTCCCCCAACTCTAGAAACGTGCCCTTTAATCCTCAAGTTTGAGACCAGTCCCTTACGTATGTTTCCGTCGCAGTGCAGGCAGATGGGGAGCAGAGAAGCTGCCTTGCAGAACTAAGCAGTGCCCATTGGCCCCTTTCCCTTCTCCATGGCATTATGGAGATAAGGAAGCCGCATGACCCCACGGTTCCAGCATTAGGAACCCACAGGGGCTAGCCCTACTCTCTGGCCCAACTCAGGGAGGCAGAAGGGTATCCCCAAGACACAACCACCCCCCAAAAAGTGCCCCTGAAAATGTCTGGGCAGCATGTGTCCTATTACTTTAGTTTGACGGCGTCTCTAGCCATCCTGATGCTCCCTAGATGTTGTTTCCCCTTTGAATATCTTCAGTTCCTTCTGCCTCAGGCCTTGGCCGCCCCTGCTCAAGTTCATTCTGATTCTTACTTACACCATACATTTGGAAACATTAAAGAGATACTTATGGGCTTAGTTCCCACCCCACCCCCCACCCCGACCCTCCTCCTTCCTGAAGGCCTCAGCCTCCTGAGACACCAGAAATTGCTCCGGAAATCCAGCTGAAGCCACCCTTCGCTCTTCCGGGTCTGCCCTCACAGCCCTGGGGCAGGGGCAGCTGCTTGCTCAGCAAGGGGGTCTTGCTCTCCTTGGGTGAGGAAGGGGAAGCCACTCACTAGCCTGGAGGAGTGTGACTGCCCAACACTCTTGCAGGCTGTGGCCCTTGTTTCTTTCAGGCGGAATCAGATGAGGCGGCTGATTGTCCCCAGCTAATCACAAGGCAGATGCAAGCGGCAGCCCTAAATAGTGGTCCCTTCCCAGGAACCGCTGGCCACAAATCAGGAAGCTGGCCACTTCCCACCCAGACAACAGCAAGGCCTTCCTTTGCATAAAACTGTTCTTTCTAACTCTGGAAGGTGAACCCGATCCTCAAAGTAAACTAACTCTTGCTAGGCTGCCTAGACCATAATCCCTTTATCCAGAAACCGTTCAGAGTAGATAGCAGGGGGTGGGGGTGGGGCGCGGGGGAGTGGGCTTGGGGAATTTGAACAGAGTCAGAGCCCACTTAGGCAGCTTTCTGCAAAAGAAGCTTTATAACCCAGAGCCCTGCAGCTGATTTAATTTGCCTAAGTTTATATACATACATATCTGTCCTGCAGAGGTACTGTACAGCGGTACTCCCCTGGCCTCACTCACACATTAAATTCTAATACCTCTTAAAGTATTAATGTTCTGCCTTGCTCTTTGTTAGCCCCAGCCTCTGGCTGGCCAGAGACATGCAACCTGGCCGCTCCCCTAGGATGTCTCTCCATTCATGTTTGGGGTGAGCTGTCCTCCCAGACCAAAGCAAGAGAAGCCTGTGGCCACAGTGGGATCTAACGGGAAGAGTCACTCTGTTCTCTTCACTCGTTCCAAATCTTGTTCCCTTGAGACCTGAGCCTTGGATGAACTTTTCCTGGGCTTCCCCTAAACAACGGTTCAGGTGCCAAAACAGAACAAAGGCAAGCTCTACTCATCCCATGCAGACAAGAAGGAACAGATGGGCTTTCGTTGGCCTTTGCCAGGCTAAGACACAGAGAACACCCTCCAGCCCCTTCCAGGTCCTAAGTCTGCCTCAGGGTCTTAAAGAAAGCAGTGGCTGCCACCAAGGTCAGGAGGGTGTGAGATAGGTGGGGTGCTCTGTTATAATCAAGTAGTGCATCCGTCCGTGGGTAGAACTGCTGGGAAGTTAAATTTCTCTGCTGCAGGGGAGGGAGGGCAGTAGCTTGGGTCCAGAAGCCTAGGATTGCTTCCTTCTCGAATGGCCAGGGAGCACTAGGCCACAGGTCTGGGGTATCAGACCTAACCATGACATCTGCCTCAGCGTTCATGAGGTGTCTGGATGGGAGGACTGGGTATCTGGATGTATGGTGAACAGGTAGTAGGCAGGCATCAGACACAGACCATGGGCATCTGTCCATGGTGGGGGTGGGGGGTTGGGGGTGGGTGTGGGTGTGGTGGAGGGAGGCCATATTTGTAGGGGCCTATTTTGTGGGCAGGAATGGGATAGAAGAAATGTGCTAAAGGTCAGGGAGCTCAGGGTCTTTGAAGCATATCCTGCCCAAGCCTTAGGAGGGCAGATGTTATGAAACAATCTTTTACCAGGGAAGTCCTAGAAAACCCTTTCTATACGCGCCCCCCCCCCCCCCGCACCTCACCCAAGAGATCTTGGGCTGCTGAGGGCCTGTGGCAGCCGCAGTGGGCTAGGCATGGTAGGGAAGACGTAGATCTTGCTATGTAGGATTTGTGCTGTGGGTGGACCGAAGCAGCAGGGTAAGAGTTGAATTCTCACTAGTGGGGCCGCTGACACTCTGTGTGTGGTCCTGTGTGTACCTGTGTGTGTGCCCGAGGTATGTCACTCAAGGGTCCAGTGACAGTCGCTGCAACATGTGTGGGCCGTCTGCCCACAGTGAGGTAAATGGATCCTTGGGCACCGTGAATCCAAATCAGGGTGAGATTTACTGAGATGTGTGGCAGGTTGTGAGGCACCTGTCCTGTATCGTGTCTCCTAGAGGTATCTTTTGTGATGCTGCATTAATTTATGGCCCTGTGCTGGAGGAGTGGTAAAGGGAGTTTCCGGGGAGGCAGCCTAAAGAAAACCTCTGACTTGTGAGATCAGCATCCATGCGAAGGAATGTGTTTGCCGGGGTGGTTGTCAAATAGTATCAGGGAATAGGTAGAATCGAGAGGCGCCTGATTCTCGATGGAATCTGACAGAGGCCAAGAAAGCCGTTACGAGGGGGCCTCTGCTCCGAATGAGGGCAGAGTGGAGTCATGTTGACTGGGAACTTGTCAGAAAAGGCTGACTGGCTGCAGAACACCAAGCTGTCTGCTGTGCGGTTCCTTGAGGGGGGCCCTTCCCCGGGAGGACACGTGCCCTTCCCTCCAGGATGGCAAGGCTGAGATCAAGGCTCTCAAGTGCCCATTTCCTTCAAGGCCCAAACTTTGGAAATATGACCCTGTAGAGAAAGCTGTTGAGTTTCTTGGGCTCCAGGAACTGGGCTGGCAGGCCACAGTAATGAGAAACCCGGAGGTCAGGCAGAGGCCTGTGCTGGGAGAGGTTTTCCCCTCCAGGTTAATTTTAAGGAATACCCATGCTGCCTGAGGTGTGTGTTTGGGATCTGGGCTCCATCCATGTCCAGCTTCATGCCAGAACATTCCTTGAGCACGCATTCTCAGTGGCCGGCTCATGGCCTCTGACACGGTTTCAGGCCAAGAATCTCATTAAAGTTCCCTTGACATGGGTGACAGCTAGTCCAGAAAAGTAAGCTGCCTTAAGATAAACAGTCCCGGGAGAGAGCCTGGGGGCCCTGCCCTAGGGTCGTGGCGGCTTAGCTGCTCAGCTGGGCAGCTCTATCTCTAGGCCTCCCTGCCGAAATCTTGCCCTGGGAACAAAGGAATACTTCAGCTCCTTACTCTTTTAACACCACCGGCTGCGGCTGCGGGAGAGGGAAAGGCTCAAGGCCAGGGCTCAGCTCCCTGCCTCCATCTCCTCCCACAGCTGCTGCATTTGGGGGAGACCTGCTGAATGTCCTTGCTGTCCCCAGGGCAGTATTGAGGCCAGAGTGGAGCCTGCTCTGCTGCTCGCTGGCTGCAAGAACTGGTCTCGGGAATGGAAGCAATGGAAGCTGGGGAAGGGATCCAGGGGACAGGGAGGTGGCAAGGGTGGCACACAAGTCTAGAAAAGTTTGGGACAAAGGGGCGGGGCTGGGAACAAACTGGTTAACTTTGATTGCCACTCACCGTGGTGCTTTTCCCCTTTCCCTGGAATTCTGCTTTGAAAATAATAAATTTGTATTTGTTTACTTTGGTTCTTCCGGTTATACTTTGATATTCCACACCCTTCCCTTATTTGGGTGTGGGAAGAGAGCGTGGGCCAAGAAGCCACAGGAATACTAAAAAACATAGGCTACCAGATGAGTTCAACACCTGCTGGACAAGAAAGAGAGAGAGAGAGAGAGAAGGAAGGAAGGAAGGAAGGAAGGAAGGAAGGAAGGAAGGAAGGAAGGAAAGAAGATAAAAGAAAAGAAAAAAGAAACCCGCCTGCACTAGCCCCATCCACTATTGTTACCTGGATTGGTTGCCTCTCAAGGTCCCACACAAATTAGCCAGTTATCCCCTCCTAGGTGGAGCTCTCTACACCAACAGTACTTAAATACCATCCTCAACAATCTGAGGGATTTTTCACCAGCCTGAAGCAATATGAGAAAAATCAGGACAATGCAGTGAGTTTCCATAGAGTTATATTTATTCAATTTAAAGGTCTGTCCTTCATTATGGGTATTTACATATATTTGGAGTGTTAAAATGTCCCTGTAACTATGGGAATAAAACTATGAACATAGTTCTTTTAAAATGCCATTTTCTGGCAAAATAAAACCCTGTGAGTCCCTCTTCCCCACCACCAGTTTTTTTTCTCACCAATCTATAAAAGCACTGCCCAAGAGAAATATGATGTGAGCCATGTACACAAATTTTCTAGCAGCTAAATTTAAAAAAAAAATAAACAGGTGAAATTCATTTTAACATTTAACCCAGTATATCCAAAACATCATTTCCACGTGTTATCGGTATAAAACAATTATTAAGATACTCTGTAATCCTTTTTTTTTTTTTTTTTTTACTAAGTCTTAGAAATTGCCAAGCAGGCTGACAGATTCAGCTGGAAAAAAAACAAAACAAAGTAAGAAACCCACATATATCCCGACAATTTATTACTCATATAGACAGCAAAAGCAAGATCAGCAATGGTATCACCTCCCTGCATTCCTCGTCCCACGGGATGACGCCGCAACAGAAGGGGCCCAAGGACACGCAACATGAATGGTGGGACATCCTATTGCTGAGTGGCCAATTCCACACTGCCGCTAAGCAGTTTTATGGCCTTTGCGGGTGGTGTGGCAGGTCAAAAGCTCTGTGCCTCTCCCGAATGAGGGAGGCCGATGAGAAACAGCCTCCCAGAAGCTTCCCTCGAGATAGGGAGGTGAGTGAGAAATGGTCTTGCAGCGACTTCTCATGAGACGGCCTATCTTCCCGTGTTGCGGGAGGATCACGGGGCATTCTGCCAAGGCCGGGGGCAGCCTGCAGTGGAGCCTCGCCTACGTGGCCTGTGTTAATAGTGCAAGGACGGCAGGGCCCCAGCCCGGAGCAGTCCCCCTGCAGAAACCCAGAGTGTATTTTACACTCACTGCATGTCTCAGTTCGAGCTAGCCAAACGTCAAGGCCTCGAAGCCTGCATGTGGCTGGTGGATACCATATTGGCCAGCGCAGGTCTGTACCATGCAAAATTCAGAATCACGGGACTGTAGAAAAAGAACACCTCATGAGGTATCACGTGTGTGTGGGCGGGGAGGGGGGTAAGGTGGGGAGTCAGGGCGGCAGTAAGCCTTGGGGGACTGGAGGGCAGTGGTGAAGCAGTTACCCTGGGTTACAGTGAGATGCGGCAGCAAAGGGAATGGAAGGTCACTGCCGACGCGTGGATTTGCCCGTGCCCCTTGGCTGCTGTCTTCCCTTCCATCCTGCCTCTCGGCAGCACAGTTCTGGCTGCTCTTGGGCTGTAGTATCGGACAAGATGCTGAACTAGGGCGCTTCTACCTCTCTCACCTCTAGGTGCCACCTCGCTAGCCTCAGTCTCTCCAGCCATGTCCCCAGGGGGCTTTCTATCTGTTTCTGCTCCAGTCCCCTGCCTTCCTTCATCTGGGAAGGCCTGTCTTCTTTGCAAACCTTGCTTCTTCCCCCACACCTTCTGCCTCTGACACTCAATTCCTTTCCCCCACTCTCCTTCTCATCTTTTAAAGCCTGGGTTTCTGAAAAAAAAAAAAAAAATCGACAGTGAGAGAGAGAGACCGCGAGAGCACAGGGAAAGGGGCAGAGAGAGAATCCCAAGTAGGCTCCACGCTCAGCATGGAGCCTGACATGGGGCTCAATCCCATGACCCTGAGACCATGACCTGAGCGGAAACCAAGAGTCAGACGCACAACCGACTGAGCCACCCAGGCGCCCCTGAAAAAAAACCATTTTTATATCATCTTGGTTTTCAAGCTGTCCTCTAACTTCTCTCCTAATCTTAACTTCATTTCATTTGCCCTTAACATGTCTAGCCCCCTTAGTCCCACTTCTTCCCTGCATTTGCCCCCAGCATTCCTTCCGTCTTCCATCCTCCTCCGCGGGCCCTGCCCATACACA